AGGAACTACTAATCTGTGTCAAAGGAACCAGGTTCCCTGACTAAGTTTGAAAATGTAAGCCTCATCCTTTGACCAACGTGCAATGCATTTGCTACTTGTTTGCTCTGTAATTGTCATGCGTGTCTACCTGTAATGGTATAAAGGTGAGTTAGACTGTGCTAGAAAACACTTTTTAGGTATTTTACCTGTATATCTTTTTCGTAGCCAATCATCGAGGGACCGGGTCCTTAGCTTGATTTCATCAACCCTAGTGCCAAGCGATTCTTTTTAAAATTCTCCCTGCTCAGTGCTTTGGTGAATATGTCTGCAATTTGATCTTCTGTGCTGCAAAATTTCATGCAGATGAGCCCTTTTTCAACGTTATCTCTGAGGAAGTAGTGTCATACATCAATGTACTTTGTTCTCTTATATTGAACTGGATTCTTGGCCATGTTGAGAGCACTAGTGTTGTCATATAGTAAGGGCACATAGTCAGAGAATACACCAAAATCTTCCAGTTGCTGCTTGATCCATAACAATTGAGCGCAGCAAGAGGCAGCTGCTACATACTCAGCTTCAACAGTTGAAAGGGCCACTGAGTTTTGCTTTCTTGTACCCCATAAGATCATACATGATCCCCAAAAATCTGCCATACCAGAAGTGCTTTTCCTATCTACCAAATATTCAGCATAATCAACATCAACGTATCCGATTAAATCAAAGGGATAGTAGAGAACCAGGTCCTGTGTGCCTTTGAGATACCTCAGAATTCTTTTGGCAGCCTTCAGATGGGATTCCTTTGGATTGGACTGAAACCTGGCACAGAGTCCCACACTAAAAACAATATCTGGTCTGCTTGTTGTGAGATATAGAAGTGATCCTATGATACCTCTATACATAGTTTTATTCACAGGAGAACTAGGTTCATCCATGTCTAGACGAGTAGCAGTGGCTATAAGAGTATCAATGATCTTTGATCCTTCCATATCAAATCTCTTCAGAAGCTCCTTGATGTACTTCTGCTGACTTATCATTGTCCCTCAGTAGTTTTCTTAACTTGCAGTCCCAAGAAGAAATTTAATTCCCCCATCATACTCATCTCAAACTCACTTCCCATAAGTTTTGCGAATTCCTCACGAAATGAATAATTAGTTGCTCCGAAGATGATGTCATTAACATAGACATACACAATGAGCAGGTTCCTCCCTTATTTCTTCAGAAATAAGGTGTTGTCAATTTTTCCTCTTGTAAAGCCATTTTCTAGAAGAAATTTGGACAATTCATACCAAGTACGAGGAGCCTGCTTTAGCCCATACAATGCTTTGTCAAGTTTAAAAATATTCTCGGGATGTTCATGATTCTCAAATCTAGGGGGTTGCTTGATAAAGACTTCTTCCTTTGGAAAGCCATTCAGAAATGTACTTTTGACATCCATTTGAAACAATTTGAATTCCATGTGAGACGCAAAGGCAATGGGGATTCTGATTCCCTCCATTCGATCAACTGGAGCAAATGTTTCATCATAGTCAATCCCTTCTTCCTGATTATAACCTTGAACTACCAGCCTTGCCTTGTTTCTGATTGTGTTTCCAAACTCATCAAGTTTGTTTCTGAATACCCACATGGTTTTTATAACAGTTCTGTCAGCAAGTTATGGAACCAGGTTCCATACACTGTTCATCTTAAATTGATGAAGTTCTTCTTGCATAGCTGTAATCCAATCAGTATATTTTAATGCTTCCTTGATATTCTTGGGCTCAAGTTGAGAGAGAAAGGCTAAGAAGGCAAGCGTGTTTCTTGCCATTGATCTGGTTTGAATTCCTGAATCAAAGGGATTGATCATATTTTCAAGAGGATGTGAGCTTTTGTGTTTCTAGTTAGACACATGAACCTCGTTGTGAGATGGTCCAGGCGTTTCTGATTGTGACTCTCTCTTTGTATGTGGAGTTCCTCGAACTGCGTCAGCAACTCTATTTTCAGCTTCAGTTGTTGTGATTGAGGAACTTGGTTCCTCCCCATAAGTTTGAAAAATAACTGTACCATCATCATTTGATTCCTTGACGTGATTCATCATGTCAGCTTTTCCATTTGCCATGACAATGACTTCACCAGGGACAGTTAACTATTCTCCCTCTTGATCAATCTTATCATATGAATCCTTCCCACACCAGTGATGAGTTTCATCAAAGATTACATGTATACTTTCCTCCACACATTGAGTTCTCATGTTATATACTTTGAAAGCTTTGCTTTGTGACGAATAGCCCAGAAAGATTCCTTCATCACTTTTGGCATCAAACTTTCCAAGTGCTTCCTTACCATTGTTGAGGACAAAACACTTGCAGCCAAATGTACTTAGATGTGTCACCTTCGGCTTCCTCCCATTCAGCAGTTCATATGAAGTTTTGTTCAAAAGGGACCTGATCATGCACCTGTTCACCAAGTAGCATGCAATGTTGATAGCTTCTGCCCAGAAATTTTTTGCAATGCCGCTATCAATCAACATTGTTCTTGCCATGTCTTCAAGAGTCTTATTCTTCCTCTCCACCACACCATTTTGTTGAGGTGTTCTTAAAGCTGAAAAATTATGAGTGATGCCATTTTCAGCATAGAATTCATCGAATTTGCCATTGTCAAACTCTATGCCATGATCCGACCTGATACTTATTATATTATGGCTCATCTTCACTTGGATATTTTTTACAAATGCAACAAATACTTTAAATGTTTCATCTTTGGACCTGAGAAACAGAGTCCAAGTGAATCTGGAATAGTCATCCACAATGACAAAGATGTACTTCCTTCCTCCTCTACTTGGCACTCTCATAGGTCCACATAGATCCATGTGAAGGAGATCAAGTGGCCTTGAGGTACTGACTTCCTTTTTGGGCTTGAAAGATGATTTGACTCACTTTCCTTTTACACATGCATCGCACACCTTGTGATCCTTGAAGCTTGAGTTGGGGCAGGCCACGAACCAGGTCCTTCTTGACTAACTTGTTCAGCAACATGAAGCTTGCATGACCCAATCTTCGGTGCCATAGTTCAGCATCATCATCTACAGCACTCAGACAACTGAGATCTCCATTTTGCAGATATTCAAAGTCAGCAACATAGATGTTTTTATATCTTTTGGCCACCAAAACCACCTCACTAGTCACAAGATTTGTGACCGTGCATATTTTTGACACAAATTCTACCTTGTTTCCCTTGTCACAGATTTGGGAGACACTTAGCAAGCTGTACTTCAACCCATTAATGTAGTATACATTTTCAATTGAGTGAGAAAGAGACTTCCCAATCCTTCCAACTCCCAAAATGTATCCCTTTTACCGTTACCAAAGGATACACTCCCTCCTTGTAGGGCTTTGAGTGAAAGGAAGTCATTTGTGCTTCCAGTCATATGCTTTGAGCAACCACTATCCATGTACCATTGTTGGTTTCTCCCTTTCACTGCTCCCTGCACAAGGAAATAAAGGGTTAGACTTAGGAACCCAAACAAGTTTGGGTCCCTTGTAATAAGGAAAGGGATGAATCATGACCTTTTGTCCAAGAAGGCATCACATGTGTTTTATATAAGGGACCAGGTTCTCTAGCAATGGTTACCCCTTTTTTTGCAAAAACTTTATTTTTCTATTGAGACTGAAATATGGCCTTACAGGTTTCCTTAAAGTGCCCAGTATTACCACAGTGAGTGCAAAACCAGTTATCAGGTACAGTAACATACTTGCTATGATAGTTGTAAGGAGTCTTTTCCCTTTGGAACCATATCCCTTGCTTGTTTCCTCCCATTGTTTTTATACAAGGTAGTGATGGCATCAGAGGATCAGGTCCACTTAAGTGATTTTTCTAAATCACTCTTAACCCTACCTAGATCTTTCTGAAGTTGCTTGTTTTTTTTCAAGCTCAACACACATACTAGATTTTACTGATTTTAACTCGTCTTCAATCCTAAGATGTTCCACACTTGCAACCTCCTTTCCCTTTCGAGTAATGTCATGACTGCCTTCTGCTTTTTGCTCATCAATTATTTCCTTTAGGTCTACTACTACCACTAATAGGTTATCTCTCTCATGCTCTACGATAGCTACTTTCTCAGTTAAGGCTTCTTTCTCTTCTTTAAGACTTTCGATAGTCTCTTTTAGATCAATCACAACAACTATTAGGTCATATATTTCATGTTCTAAGTTTGCAATTATTTCAGTTAGGGAATCTTTTTCCTTTTTTAAACTCTTAGTGGTTTCTTTTAAGTCCACCACAACAACTACTAGATTATCTCTCTCATGTTCTACTTCTCCTAGTTCCATATTTAAAGCATTTTTATCATTTATAAGATTATGGTAAGCATCAATTAAAATATTTTCCAAGGATATAAGCTTTTTTGGAGAGTAAGACTTCATATTTCTTTGAATATCTAGAAAGTTTACCTCATCATCATCATCTTCGTCATCAACAGATTGTGCCATCAAGGCAAAGATGGAGTCATATTCAGTTGCTTCATTTTCTACTGTCATCATGGAGTTGTCACCTTTGTCATGATCTTCGTTCGATTCATTGGAGGAGTCTCCCCATGCATCAAGAGCTTGTTTTATAACGTTGTCGGCAACATCTTTCCTTTTGAATCGTTTGTCAGGAACCTGGTTCCTCTTAGCTGCCTTGTCTGAGTTGTGCTTGTACTGATCTTGCTTGAGGAGAGGACAATCTTTGATGAAGTGCCCTGACTTCCCACACTTATGACATAAGTCATAGCCTCTTGGCTTGCTGGAGCTTCCCCGCTTTGGAATACCTCTATTTCTGCGAACCATTTTCTGAAATCTCTTTATCAAGTAAGCCATATCAGTATCTTTACCATTTGATTCATTGTTGTCTGTCTTGAGGACCAGGTTCTTTTCCCTCTTGGGCTCTCTTCTCTTGTTATCCTTCTTCTTCTTCATTTCGTACGTCTTCAGATTCCCAACGAGCTCGTCGATGGTCAGCTTCTCTAGATCCTTTGCCTCCGTGATAGCATTTACTTTGCTTTTTCAGGAACTGGGTAATACACTCAGTATTTTCCTGACAAGTTTATTCCTTGGAATGATTTCTCCCAGAGAATGGAGCTTATTGATGATGGAGGTGAAGCGAGTGTGCATGTCCTGGATGGACTCGTCGTCCTTCATCCTGAAGAGCTCGTACTCTGTGGTAAGCATGTCAATCTTTGACTGCTTGACTTGAGTTGTCCCTTCATGAGATGTTTGGAGAGCTTCCCAAATCACCTTAGGAGATTGACATGCTGAGATCCTGTTGTATTCATCTTGTCCAATATCACAGATAAGAATTTTCTTTGCTCGGAAGTTCTTCTCTATGGCCTTGCAATCAGCATCAATGAATTCTTTTCTTGTTTTGGGAACTGTTACTGCTGGGTCACTAATGGTCTTCATAGGGACGAAGGGTCCATCGCATATAATGTCCAGAGCTCTGAATCTTCAGCCATGATGAAATCATGCATCCTTGTCTTCCACCATCCATAGTATTGGTCGTTGAACCTTGGTGGTTTGTAGGTAGATTGACCTTCTTCAAAGTTTGGTGGAACAGCCGTGGGGATCCTTTCTAGGTGTTAGCCTGATAAAAAGAACCTGCTCTGATACCAATTTATAGAAACTAAGGGTCCACGAAACTATATAGAGAACCAGGTTCTTTATAAGTTCCCACAGAACACACATACACAGCAGTAAGTAAACGATACAGTAGAATTTTACGTGAAAAATTCTCAGCTCACGGGATTAAAAACCAGGACCTACCCTTGTAAGATTTCAACTTCACTACTGAGCAAACTTTAGATTACAACCTCTTGTAACCTAGGAATTGACTCCTTAATCCCTTACTAACTTGTAACAACTCTATTACAAGCCACTTTGTAATAGCTCTATTATAAGTCATCACTTACAGCTCGACTAAACCTAGCCAAGACACAAACACAGAGTTTATGATTAAACAAAAGTTTCCTACACAATTGCTTCTAACTAAGCTAACTAGGAATTACAAGTAAGAAGCTTTAACAAAGGTACAATACAACTAAGGACATGTGATGACTCGATATAGGGAACTGGTCCTTGTTATGTAGTTCTTTGTTCTTGAAGCACTTGAGAATCGATTGTTGGATTGATGCACAGACTTGAGAGAAAGCTAGATTGATTCTTCAAAATGTTCAAGTGATGTTTTGTCTTTGGTTAATGTTAATATAACATTGGTAACATCACTTGAATGATGCAAGCTTGTTTGGTACAAGAGCATTCCCAATGAAATTGACTATTGCACTGTTTTGCACTGTTGTGTGTGCAGGCGGCAACTTTACAACTGTTGGGGAGTTGACTGGTACGGTCACCAAGAAAACTGATGTTCATCTGTTCCCTCTGTTGTTTCTCTGAATTTGAAGAGTTTAACTATATCCCCGACTTTGAGACTTGTTGATCTTAAGTACTTGAGGATGTGTAACAGGTTCCTTATCTAGTTCTTAGCATTAAGTTTGTTAGATCATCAAAACATAACAGGGATGCATAGAGCCTATCAGGTAGGCATCAAAAGTCACAGCATAGCTTCACATAGCAAATGAATGAACCTTTGCCTTCTGAGATGACTGGCGAATCTGCAACTTCTGTACAGGAGATTTGTATCTCAATAGTAAAGTCTGATATGAGATTAGAGACACAAGATCAAATATTGCAGGATGCTGCAGTGCTCCTGAAATGGAGGATGATTTACTCTTCTTTGATGAACAGAGACAGAGAGATCCTCAAGTAATTACTGAAAAATCCATCCTCTACTTTCACTCCTTAGCTCTGGCCAAGGGCTATCCGCTGCTCACTGACATTGTTGGGCCTACTGAAGCCAACATGCAAATTGTAGACAGGAGAGCTGATTCCAAATTACAACTAGGGCTGTCAAATTTGGCCCAAGCCCAAATGACCCGCCTAACCCGCTCAAGGTTAGGCTTGTTATTAAACTCAACCCATTTAAAATTGGGTTTATTTTTAACCCAAATCGATCTATAAGTAATTTTGCCAAAATATCTTAGAAATAAATTTACTTTTTTGTTTGATATATTATATATAACCATAACAAAAGAAAAAAAGTCTTATTTAGTAAATATACAATTCATAAGAAAATAATATATATTAATTAAAGTTTGATAAGAATTGGGTGAGTTGAGTTATGACCCAAATTTTAGCGAATCTTAGCCCAAGTAACTTTTGGGCGGGTCATTTGACCCGTCCAAAATTGGCCCAACCCGCCCATTTGACACCTCTAAATTTACAACCTTCTAGTATTAGACCACTACTAAGATCATACTCTAACAATGTTATCAACTGGGTGGCGAATTTGGAAAGGATTGAATTGATGAAAGTTATTGTCTAATATCTAATGAAGGTAAAAGGATGCATCTGGAAACATTTGAAGGTGAATCTGCTTGTGTGGACCATAGTACTACTATAGATACAAGGGAGAACAATTTAATTTCTAATATTTTCTCTATGGATTTTGATCCATGGGGTGAGTCATTATCTTCTACTCGGAACTTGGCCAAGTTGTTGGGTGAAACTGAGAATCAACAAGGGTCTCTTAAAGATTCAAGTTCAAAAAAGTTTCAAAACAACAATCAATCAATGTTTTCTTTTTCATGTGCACCCGTCAACTGATTTTCAATCATCACATGGTTACATTGAGCAAAGTCTTGATTGTCATTCTCGCGCACATGATCTATTAAATAACAGGAGCTATCGACCTGATAGTTTTGATGCTCGGAATGGTTTCTCTGTAGCTAATAAAAAGGATAGTAATGGTTTTTCGAACTGTTATTCTCATCTCTCTTCCAACAAGCTATAAGGTCAGTTTATTACTCATCCTTATATTTAGTTTTCTATATGCATCTTTTATTTTTCGGAATTTAATTTGAAGTAGGTTATCCCCGAAAAAGAGAAGTTTGAAGTGCCTCTGGTTTAATATTTTGTGGTGGATTATTAAAAGAGTGTCAGCACCTCCCGGATTTTCAGCACCAAAGAGAGCACCACCCCCAGGGTGGGGTTCACTTCTCATCAGAGAATGGAACAACATATTGACTCTCTCTGGTAAGTAATTCTGGCTTTTCGGTTTTTCTACCCTGTTGGACATGTCTCTGATACTTAAATATCGTTTTTATTTTGCAGGCCACATGCTTGAGACACCCTTCTTTCGCAATCAATTTCAGACTCCTTCAATTGGAAATATTGAGTTTATGGATCCTGCAATTTTGGCAGGGAGGGTTCAAAATGGCCTTAATATATCTAACTTAGACTGTCTCCAAGTTTTCCTCCAATGTTAAGTACTACTGAAAATGAGGCAAGACTTCAATTACTGATGCAAAGATCTCTATCTCCACATGAGAATCAGAGATTTGTTGATGTGAGGGATAACTTTTCTCCATTCACGAATGATTATGGATTTTCCTCCAGGGTTGTTGAGAAAACTCTGGCCAACATTCTGTCCACATTTTCACATCTCAGTTTTACTCAGAGTAGTAACTCTGTCATGTCAAATGGCCAGTGGGATGGGTGAAATCGTGTTCAGAGTGGAAATAATTTCCTTCGAAACATGACAGAGTGACATTCTGGAAGGCGAATCTGATTTAAGATTGTCTGATTGAAGCTGCTTTCAGATTGGTGAAGGATCAAAGACTCTAAAACGGGGTGTCCAAGAACCAATAGGTGAGCACTTCCCAACTGAGTTTACTAACTTGTCGATAGTATGGACAAGTTTACGCAAATAAGAACACTTTCTAGTATCATAAATAAAGTAGGGTGGCAGAACCAGCAATCTGCAGTACATACAGTGGTTTTTCCAATCATGACTTAGATCTTTATCATGAATTTTTCTGTGAATGTATCTCAGCTTGACTGATTTTACCTTAGATATATCCTGAAAACGTCCCTAGTGGGGTGGCCTATGGACTAAAGAGTTGGTGACAAACCTAGCAGAGGCTATGCTAGTTAAATTCTCCCTTTCTAAACCCTGGTGGGAAGAGTTACCCGATATATGTGCTGGTGGAAAGGTAGCAGGTGTAGGGTAGTTTAAATTGAGGCGTGTGCGAGCTGACTTAGAGTTATTTGAAAAAAGAAAAAAGATGTGCGGTGAAATCTTGTTGGTCTTAAGGTTGTTTTGTTTGGTTATTATGGTTGCTTTGACAATCAATTAATAAATATATAAAAAAAATAAACCCATTTCATTGAACCATTAAGGTATGTTTGCTTAGAAGTGGTGTTGGAAGATCATCCATACTAGAGCCCGTTTGGACATAAGATTTTTTTTACTTTTTTTTCTGAAATATTTTCATATTTTTTTAAAATCAGTGTTTGGCCTTAAAATTTTTAATTTTCACTTGAACATGAATTTTGAAAGTTTTCAAAAATTTAAAAAACTCCAAAAAGATATTTTATAATTTTTTCACTCAAATGACTCACAAAAATTCAAAAACAACCCAAAATTATTTTCATATCCCAACACAACTCTAGTTTTCAAATACCATTTTCACTTGAAAACAAATTCATTTATTTTGGGATTTTACAAATTCTTATGTCCAAACGCCCACTAAGATTATTTCATAACCATGTCGACCTATTTAATTATTTGATAAGCTTGAGAGAGATTAGTTCCCTCTATTTCACTGACTCTTCTACTGAGTGTTGTGCGACATGGTTGCCTGAAACTGTTGTTTTTCAATTTCACGATTGGAATGTTATTCATGTTTGATTATGTCTATTCATATGCATTAATTGCTATCTTGCCTTTTATGATTCCATTTCCAGGTTGTTGGCCCAAGTGAAGTTTTGTTTTGAAGATTAACAAAGGAAGCTCAGGTATAAATCGGGTCCATCCCCTGTGTACACAGACACGGGCAGATTCGAGCATGAGGAATGCACGTGAAGGAGATAAGCTTAACTTGTTATATCTGATATATCCTGATCGAAAAGGTTGCATATTTGATAAGGAGAAGGACTCCTTACTCAAAGAGAACACTATCCAAGATAATGGAGGAGTTAGAAGTTGAGGATAACCATAACTCTTCCACCAAGGAAGAGTAACATTAGAACTCTAGTTGTTTCTTATTCTACTAACTCTATATATTGCATGGTGTTCTCATTCTACATGCACGCACAAAAGCAGAAGTTAAACGTGAGTTGAGAGCAAAATAGCAACGCATTTTGCAAGCAATTCTTGTGTGATTCAAGTCTGCGAACCTGAAGCTACATGAACAAGATTGAAGTAGCAGTTCCAAGTGTTTGTCTTTTATTCTAGTTCAATTGTATTAGGTGATTTTCAAATCGTACCTTTTAGCTTTATCTAGAAGCAATTGTAATAGGTACTCTGAGTATTCAAGTTAGAGTTAACTTGAAGTTGTCGCAACAGT